AATAATAATAATAATAATCCCAGCTTACCTTCAGAGCCTTGGCTACAATTACATGAACACTAAAAATAACTAATAATTAATGTTAATCTTTCGTTTATGTTCATTGCCCTGACAAAGGAATTTTTGTTGTGTTAGTTATACAGTTATTCCTTTTATGTAAAATATAGTTTATTTGGGCAAATAAATGTTGAAAAGTAAAATATCTATATATTGTTGGAAGCATTTTTACCAGATATTTCAGATTTGTTGACAAAAACATTATATGCAAATTTCTCACACATCCATGGCGTTTCTTTGATTTTAGTTCATATTTTCTTTGACGATGCTTTTGAGCTCTGTGAAGAAAATGAAGATTTCGTAGTTAACCGGTTTGTGAAACAACTGCTTGAAGTGGTTGACAAAGCTGCTAGGTATGACACTAGTGGAACAAATTTCATAACTTCTGGAGCCTCATTATTTAAATAGTTAATATTTACATCAAAAGGAATGACTGCATTCAAAACATCAAGACCAAACCTATGATGAAATAGAACATATCCCCACCGCTATGTGGGTCCTACTTCCGCAGTCACCTCCAAAGACAAGAACAAATATTATATCCTACATTATAGCTTGTGCCCTGGTGACTATTTTGGTTACACAATGCTATATTTTTGTTAAGACTTGTTTTGTATTATAAGTAGGTTCTATTTCATCATAGGTTTAGTCTTGCTGTTTTTTAAGCAATCCTTCCTTTTGATATAAAGATTAACTTAACTGTTTAAATAATGTTTACATTATATAAATAATTAAGTTTATATTTAAATAAATGTGGTATGTTGCTATCATGTCGTACATATCCATTACATTGTTTAATGTTTGAGTCTCTCTTCATTACAGTAATGATAATTGATTTTAATAGCACGCTAATATTCAAACTGGTTAACCAATCTAAGAATAACTATAAAATTCATATTTATTTCCATCTGAGTGAAAACAGTTACTAAATAACCAGCTATTTTATTAAGTAAATTACTCAATATTTTATTTGAAAGAATTAATAATTAAACACTTTTTTAGACATTAAAAGGTAATTAACCTATTTTAGAATGTTTAAATAATTGTGTACATGTTAAAAGTATTCACTAATTTATATACAAGAATTCCTTCGAAAGATTTAATTGTAGTTATGAATTCATTAATAAAACAGTATTGTATCCCTTCTGTATTACTTGAAGAAAGAAATTTTACTTCTAAAAGTATATAAGCTTCTGTATTCATAAACAATTACATTTTTTTAAGTAATCAGGCATTTAAACAAGTAATTGGATTACCAATGGGAGTCAACTATTCTACTTGTATAGCGATTTTATGTATTTTATGTTTACTACCAACATTATGAGTCCAGATGTTTTTTGCTTTAATGTAGATATATTGATGCTCTAATTACAATAAATAATCCTTAAAATATTTACCCAGTAGAATTACAAATTTTTGATAATTGAATTTCTGCAATAGAAGTACATTAGTTAGATCTGGGAATTAAAACATGTAACAATGATATGAATATATTTATTTTTTGATAAAAGAAAAATTTCGTTTTCAAATATTTGGCCTGCCCTCTCCTAACGGTAATATGGCCCGGCATGGCCAGGTGGTTAAGGTGCTCGACTCGCAATCTGAGGGTCGCGGGTTCGAATCCCTGTCACACCAAACATGCTCGCCTATTCAGCCCCACGGTCAGTCCCACTATTCGTTGGTAAAAGAGTAGCCCCAGAACTGGTGGTGATGACTAGCTGCCTGCCCTCTAGTCTTACACTGCTAAATTAGGGACGGTTAAGGTGCTCGACTCGCAATCTGAGGGTCGCGGGTTCGAATCCCTGTCACACCAAACACGCTCGCCCTTTCAGCCGTCGGGGCGTTATAATGTGACGTTGGTAAAAGAGTAGCCCAAGAGTTGGTGGTGATGACTAGCTGCCTTCCCTCTAGTCTTACACTGCTAAATTAGGGACGGCTAGCGCAGATAACCCTCGTGTAGCTTTGCGCGAAATTCAAAAACAAACAAACAAATAACTGGGATAGTGTAAGTGCCACGAAAATCCTTTTTCAGGATCGAAAACCTTGAAATCTCAGAACAAATTCTAGGAAATAGAAATATTTTTCAGAAGCACGTTTAGGCCTTACTTAT